AATATTCTTTTACTTTATTTAGAACAGGATCTGCTTGAGTTTCCTTTTGAAATGTTACTTTTTTATTCTCTGAAATATTTACAATTGCATGTATGTTATGTACTACTTCAAGCATCGATTCATCATCTTCCACTGGATCATTTAAATAATTTCTGGACAACAAATCAGCAACATGTAAAAATTTTCCTGGCATATACTCACATTTTATATCATACCGTACCAGTTTTAATTTAATTCTCTGCAACCTAGGAGAAATGATGTCAGCAATTTTTTTATTCATTATTGAAACCAGTGGCTTATGATCAGTACAGATTGTTACTTGCTTGCCATATATATAGTTATGAAATTTTTTTACTGCAAACGCCATAGCCAAAAACTCTTTTTCAATTTGAGCATAATTTTGCTCTACTGTTGTCATACTACGCGATGCAAACGAGACTGGTCTTCCTTCTTGCAACAAGCAACAACCTAAACCACTCTTAGAAGCATCTGTATGTATCGTTATTTCTTTTTTATCATCAAAATTTGTCAGCACAGGTGCTACAGTAAGCATATTTTTGATTTGATCATAAATATTTTGATGTAGTTCAGTCCATGAAAAAATTACATTATTTTTTAATAAATTTCGCAATGGATCTGTAATTTCTGACAAATTAGGCAAAAAGTTTCGAAAATAATTAAACATGCCTAATACCTTTTGTAAATCTTTCTTATTTTTGGGTTCTTTTAATTGAATTATTGATTTAATCCTATCTGGATCTGGTTGCATGCCATCTTTTGAAAATAAATGACCTAAATATTTAACTTGACTTTTTCTATATTGTACTTTACTTTGATTAAATTTAATATTTAACTTTCTGGCTCTATCAATAACTTTATTGAGTATTGCATCATGTTCTTCTTCAGTCTCCCCTGCAATTAATAAGTCATCAATATATACAGTAACTCCCTCAATGTCTCCAAAATTGTTTGTATTTAATTTTTGAAATAACTCTGGTGCTGTTTTCAGACCAAAGGGTAACCTGTTGAATTGATAATACCCAAACGGACTACTAAATGTACAAATCTGCTGTGATTTATCATCAAGTTGCACGTGATAAAAACCATCTTTAAGATCTAGTACAGTATAGCAAACTTTATTTTTCAATTTTGCAGTTATTTCTTCCATTGTTGGCATAAGGCAATACTCCCTTTCGATATTTTTATTTATATCAGCTGGATCTAGACAAATTCTTAAACTACCATTCGGTTTTTCAACAATAACCAAATTGCTAGCCCATTCAACTGGTCTATTAACTTTACTTATTATACCTTTTTGTTCTAAATCATTTAAAGTCAATTTTAATTTATTTTTAATTGAAATTGGGACTCTTCTAGGTGGTCTGTTAACAGGGATCGCATTTTTTCTTAACAATATTTTATGTACACCCCCAAATTTACCTGTTCCCACAAACAAATCTTTATTTTCATCAAGAAAATTTTCTTCAGTTAATGTTTTTAAATTATTTACTCTCTTGACAAGACCTAACTGAATGCACGCATTTAATCCCAACAAAGGTTGATTATTATTATTACACACATAGAAACTAATCAAGTGTCGTTTACCTTTAACAGTACAGTCCAAGTCAATAAATCCTAAAGGCTTAATTTTATATCCTCCCCATGACTCTAACAACATTTTTGTGTCCCTGACTATCTTATTCATACATTTGAGTTGCCTTACTAACTTTTCTGGAATTGTGTTAACCTCCGCCCCAGTATCTAATTTCATTTTCACAACAGAACCGCATAATTTTACATCTTCATACCACGCTTTGCTAACACTGTTAACACCCGAACAATATTTCTTAACGCCTTCCACCATAAGCGTTGGTTCTGAACCACCCGCAGTGAACTCGTCATTCTTAACTTCTCTAACTTCCTTAACTCTACAACAAATTTTAAAGTGATTCATTTTACCACACCGGTGGCACTTCTTTCCAAAGGCAGGACAATTACGAACACAATGCTTTGTTTTACACCTGGTACACAAAAATCTCGTTACTGTTTCTTGTTTCTTCTGACTATCGTCTTGCTGTTTCTTCTTATAAGTTTCTGAACTTGGATTCTTCTTCTGGAGTACTTCCACTGCTTTCGCTCCTTCTGTCTGCACCGTCTGTATATAGCCCTTGGCTGCTTCATTTGTTCTACACATGGTGACCACATCTGCCAGGGTGACACTTCCTTTAACAATTAACTTTTGCTGTACTTCTTTGTCAGATATTCCAAAGATTATCCTATCTCGTAGCATTTCTTCGGAGTCTTTGAATTCACATCTTTTAACTGCAGTCCTCAAATCATTCACAAAATGATCGAAAGATTCACCACACTCTTGTTTTCGATTGTAAAACAAGAATCTTTCATAGACTATGCTTTTCTTAGGATTAACATACTTCATAAACTCTTCCACGACCGTTTTATATACTTTCTTCTGTGCGTCTGTCAACTCAAAGTTACTGTATATTTCAATACCCTCTTCTCCCAACACATTAAGGAGTATGGCAATTTTTACTGGATCCTCTTTTAGGCTTCCACCACTTGCCAACATATAAACTTCAAATTGACGTATAAATTTTGTGAAATTTTCCTGCACATTTCCTTCAAAACTAAACTTTCTCGGCGGTTTGATATCCATTTTCTTCAACTATAATTATTCGTTCATCAAACTACTACAACGACTGCGCCATGTTTTATATTGGTTTTAGAATATTAATAAAACCAGCTTCTACAATTATTTGTTTATTCTAATCTCTTACGTATCTAACAACATTCTCCAAGCCTACTTCTATAACAGTGACAATCAAATTTCGCCCTTATTTAAATTACTCTTTAAATAGCTCTTCGTTCTGTTGTTGACGTTAATTGAGTTCTGTGGATGTCTCGGTCATCTTCAATTTTTATTTCTGTGGGTTTTGCTAATCTATAGACAAATGCCAACGCTTGTGTCCGAACACGTGACATTAAACATGACTATAACAACACCTTTATTTTATTTTGGATAGTAATCAGCTCATGAGTTGTAATTAAACTTGGCTTTTATTAACAAAATATTGTAAGAACGGTGTATCTAATTTTTTTGTATGTGTAGACAATGTAACATTGGAAAAGAAGTTGAAAATCATAAAATAATGAAGTATTGAAAACTGGATGTGTAAACTTTGTGAAAATAAAAACATCTTAAAAAATATATATTTTATATTGAAGGTCTTCAAAAAATTTCAGTACTACGAAATCTTTTTAATTAATAATTTGTGTGAAAATTTTTCGGTGTCTTTCGACAGACTCCACCGATTTGGCATACGGAACTTTCATAGGAAAACATCTCGAATTTTACAGTTTCTTAAAAAAATATATTTCTATTCTCCATGGAAAGTTACCTTTAGATCTATAGAAAAATATGCATAAATGGAAATGTTTAAAATGTTCGCCTCGCATTTATTTCCAAGCTTCAATTTCCCCTCGGTTGTAATTTTTTTTCTTTAAAACGTTGTTTCTTAATTGTTTGTACTCCATTCAAATTTCGCCCTTGTTTAAATTCCTCTTTTCTGTGTATATAATTGAAAAATATTATTCTCGGTGGACAAATTTCCTTAGTCCTTTTTTCGTTGTGTTCGTGAGTAAAACCAAATCAAATTTTTAATAACACAGAGATTCTACATTTGTATAGTACAGAACTTATAATTTAACTCGATTTTTATCGCATTCAAATTAATTTCAGTTGAGTTTTTTATTATTTTAAAACACCTGAAAATCGTAAAATACTGAAGTAAACAATAACACCTTGATTCTATTTTCTACAGTACTCAACTTGTGGTTAAACTCAACTTTTATCCCATATCTTAGCGAATAACGGAATTATCGCCTGCTATGCATGTTTTTTTTGGTACATCGGTCCAAATTTACCTTCTACAACTAATTTCAATTATGTTAATCCACAGAATTTTTATTGCTTGTAATTACAAAGCACGCAGGTTATTTCCACTACAAAAACGGAAGAGCAAAGGTTTCTGACCCGTGCAAAGTGCATTGCATGGGCGATATCGTTAATCAGATAAGTGAACAAAACTTTCCCGATAACATCTTCATATCGACTGATTGCGTTTTCTTAATCATCGCCATTCTAACTTTAAACTAGATCAATCGGTCCAAGCGAAAAAAAAAACCGATACAATCAACGCAAAAACGCGACTTTGAATTTCAAATTGGGCTTAATCTAGAGGACTCTCAGCGACTTTTTTCTAAGTAAACTTGTTTACATAACTGTTTACACGTCTTTCGGCCTAAAAACACACATTAATATCGAGAATTATGCAAATGTCACTTCACGCGTAATATGCAAACACGGTGTCAAATTAAAACCCGGAAAAGATTCGTTTCCCCGGACGCGAGACGCCGGAAATCATCTCCACGATCTCCATCCAAATGGCATTCTTTTCAAACGCACGAACTTGTCAAATCGAAAAGGAAGCGACGATTGAGCAACCGGAATTGATATTTTCGCTCCAAAGTAAACATCTGCTCAAATCAGATTGACACGAAATTACAGCCGAATATCATGAATGCTATTACTGCCACAGACAAAATCGAGCTAATCCCTCACGAAATCTAATTTTAATTCGGCGTGTGTGTCGTTGCGTGTTTTTCGAACTCATGCCACCATTGTTTAAGTCGTTTTTCGGTCGAAACGAAAATTAATTTCCAACGTGCGCTAGCCTAGGTACGTTCGATGTACACACATTTGACCCGATCTGTATCAAGATTACGTGGGTTTCGACCTAGTTTCGCCGAATGCACCACAAAAATGCTCAAAATCGTGAAAATAACACCTTCACCTGACATTTACCCGTCAAAATACTTTCCCCGATCCGGTAATCGTCCATTATGTAAGTGCGAAAATTTCGGTTTCGAGCGAAAGCGCGGGCAGAAATTGCGTCCGGGGAAGTTTAGAGCTTTCGACTTACCGCAGGAACGGCACAGGTTTCAGCAGGATTTTCCGATCGGCTCCTGCTGCTTGCTTTCAGCGTCACTCGTTGCACTACACTAGCGTATTTCCCGCAGCAGCGAAAGCAGAAGCGTACAGCAGGACTAAAACGTACCACCACTGACAATTCTGACCCACATTTCGCGTTCGCGTGGACTCTATTTCGTCCTTGTTTAGGTGCGTTTCTTACTCGAAGCGCTCGGAAGCGGCGTGGATTTTCAAAATCAATAATGCTACAGAGTGTCAGCTGATCGAAATGGACGGACGTAATACGCGTAGGTATAGAGAGAGAGGGGCGGAGGGCGATGGGTCATGGGCGGGATGGGGGCGGCGGTGGTTTTTTGGAGGGTTCAGTGAAAATTATACACAGCTTGACGACGTAGTTTTAGTTAATTGGGAGCGATTATGGTGTCGATCGTAACTGCAAACCTGCATTAAAGTCACTCCTACTCAGTATTTAGCCGTGTTTAACTGGTCGCTGAGTCAGAAGGTCTGGCACCAGCTCCGTCGCAACCAAAGACATTTTTATTACGTTAAAGTTTCGAGAAATTCCAGTTTGTGGGAGAGTGAAACCCGAATTATCAAATCTATTGTGTGTTTCAATCAAGTGAAAGTCAACTTGATCTTTTGCAATCTCGCAATAAACACACTTGGGGCATCATTGGCTTCATAATTGAAGCCATAAAACTTTAATTCTCTCCTATTAAAGTCGAGAAAATAACTGGAATAAGGTCTCAGCCTCTGTCAGTACGAAGGTGTCAACGTTGCCGACGAAGAACGACAGTCCATCAACATTTTTATTTCCAATTATCGTCGCTCCTTATCGACCTTCTTCGGGCTCATTATAGATATACGTCGATCCTTGCTCCATAAGCAAGCACTTTTGCTCCTGACCTTACTCCCGATTTCCGCCAAAACACAAAATACTTCCTTGTGGATGATGCAACGACACAACGGAAAGACAAAATGATTAATTTCGACGATTTAGGTCAGACTCATTTGCGTGGGAACACGTGGTTGTTGTAACACAGAAGTACTTATTGCGAGAACAATACGAGTAGCGAAAACTATTTCTGTATCAGTTGGCTGTGAAAAAAAATTACCAATTTTCCACTTGTTATAGTGGCTGATTTTTTTTTAAGTCATTTCTGCTATAACTTTTCAAATAATTCTGAAAATTTTAAAATTTCGAAAAATGTTTCCAACAATTTCTTGATGCCTTAACCAACAAGTAACTGCGTTATCAGATAAAGAATTCTCCTTAGATTACGAATATGAAGTAACGGTGATCAAAATTTTTTTAAATAATAGAGAACTTTCAAAAATATTCCCAAAAATCCGTTAATATGCATATTAACAAGTAAAAATCCACTTCATCAGACAAATAATTTTTAGTTGATTACGAGTATGAGGTCAAAATTTTCGTAAGTTTTCAAATAATCGGGAAATTTGATTTCAAAATTTTCAAAAATTTTCTCAAAAATCCTTTAATATACATCGCAACCAGCAAACAGCGACGTCATCAAACAGCAAATCCTCCGTAGATTACTGCTGATGGTAAGTTTTCCAAAAATCGTAAATTTTTGGTTTGAAATTTTCAAAAAATTTGCTAAAAATCCATTAACATAGTACGTAGATTACAAATTTGGAATCGTCGTTGCCATAAATTTTCAAATAATCCAGAAATATGCGTTTGAAACTTTCAAAAATTTTCTCAAAAATCCGTCAATAGTACGACTTAACAGGAAAAGATCTAGATTATCTGAGACTGAATTCTTCGTAGAATAAAAACATGAGATTGTGGTGTTTATCAATTTTCAAATAGTCAAGAAATTTACCTTAAAAATTTCCCAAAATTTTCGCAAAAATATATTAATATATGTTTTAACAACTAAACAGCTACGTAATTGGACACAGAATTCTTCGTAGGTTCCCTATATGACTTCGGTGTTTGCACAAGGTTTCAAATAATGGAGATTTTTGTTTGAAACTTTCAAAATTGTTTCCAAAAATTCCTTAATGTGCGTATTAAAAAGTAAAAAATCTACGTCATCAGACAGAAAATTCTCCGCGGATTATGTATATGAAGTCGTGGTGATCATAAGTTTTCAAAAAATCGAAAATTTGCTATTCGAAATTTTCAAAAAAATTCCCAAAAATTTACTAATATGCATATTAACTACCCAAGAGCGACGTTATCACACAGATAATTCTCTATAATTTGCAAATATGAGGTCGTCCTTGCCATAAATTTTCAAATAATCGAGAAATATGCGTTTGAAACTATCAAAAATTTTCTCAAAAATCCGTCAATAATACGACTTGACAAAAAAAGATCTAGATTATCAGAGAGTGAATTCTTCATAGAATAAAAATATGAGATTGTGGTGTTCATAAATTTTCTAATAGTCATGAAATTTACTTTCGAAATTTCCAAAAATTTTCGCAAAAATATATCAATATGTGTCTTAACAACCTATGTAATCGGACACAGAATTCTCCGTAGATTCTCTATATGAGTTCGGTGTTTCTACAAGGTTTCAAATAATAGAGATTTTTGTTTGAAAGTTTCAAAATTGTTTCCAAAAAATCGTTAATATGCATATTAACAAGTAAAAATCTACGTCATCGGACAGAAAATTTTCCGTAGATTACGAATATGAAGTCGTAGTGGTCATAAGTTTCCAAAAAATCGAAAACTTTCTATTCGAAATTTTCAAAAAATGTCTCAATAATTCATTAATATAATATTAATCATTAAAGACTGACCTTACCACCTGAATAAATCTTCGTAGTTTACAAATATGAGATCGTTGTTGCTATAAATTTTCAAATAATTGAGAAATATGCGTTTCAAACTTTCAAAAATTTTCTCAAAAATCCGTTAATAATACGACTTAACAGGAAAAGATCTAGATTATGAGAGAGTGAATTCTTCGTAGATTAAAAATATGACATCGTGGTGTTAATACATTTTTAAATAGTCGAGAAATTTACCTTCGAAATTTTCAAAAAATATTCCAAAAATTCACTAATATGCATATTAACTACGAAAGAACGACGTTATCACACAGGTAATTCTTCGTAGTTTATAAATATAAGATCGTCATTACCATAAATTTTCAAATAATCGAGAATTATGCTTTTGGAACTTTCAAAAATTTTCTCAAAAATCCTTCAATATGCATCGCAACCAGCAAACAGCGACGTCATCAAACAGCAAATCCTCCGTAGATTAGTGCTGATGGTAAGTTTTCCAAAAATCGTAAATTTTTGGTTTGAAATTTTCAAAAAATTTGCTAAAAATCCATTAACATAGTACGTAGATTACAAATTTGAAATCATCTTTGCCATAAATTTTCAAATAATCGAGAACTATGCGTTTGAAACTTTAAAACATTTTCTCAAAAATCCGTCAATAGTACGACTTCACAGGAAAAAATCTAGATTATCAGAGAGTAGAATAAAAATATGAGATTGTGGTGTTTTTGAATTTTCAAATAGTCAAGAAATTTACCTTCAATACTTCCCAAAATTATCCCAAAAATATATTAATATATGTTTTAACAACTAAATGGCTACGTAATTGGACACAGAATTCTCCGTAAGTTCCCTATGAGTTCGGTGTTTGCACAAGGTTTCAAATAATGGAGATTTTTGTTTGAAACTTTCAAAATTGTTTCCAAAAATTCCTTAATATGCGTATTAAAAAGTAAAAAATCTACGTCATCAGACAGAAAATTCTCCGCGGATTATATATATATGAAGTCGTGGTGATCATAAGTTTTCAAAAAATCGAAAATTTGCTATTCGAAATTTTCAAAAAATTTCCCAAAAATTCACTAATATGCATATTAACTACCAAAGAGCGACGTTATCACACAGATAATTCTCTATAATTTGCAAATATGAGGTCGTCCTTGCCATAAATTTTCAAAAAATCGAGAAATATGCGTTTGAAACTTTCAAAAATTTTCTCAAAAATCCGTTAATAATACGACTTAACAGGAAAAGATCTAGATTATTAGAGAGTGAATTCTTCGTAGAATAAAAATATGAGATTGTGGTGTTTATGAATTTTCAAATAGTCAAGAAATTTACCTTCAAAATTTCCAAAAATTTCCCCAAAAATATGTTAATAGGTGTTTTAACAACTAAACAGCTACATAATTGGACACAGAATTTCTCCGTAGATTCCCTGTATGAGTTCGGTGTTTCCCCAAGGTTTCAAATAATGGAGATTTTTGTCTGAAACTTTCAAAATTGTTTCCAAAAATTCCTTAATATGCGTATTAAGAAGCAAAAAAGCTACGTCATCAGACAGAAAATTCTCAAAATTCTCTGCGGATTACGTATATGAAATCGTGATGATCATAAGTTTTCAAAAAATCGAAAATTTTCTATTCGAAATTTTCAAAAAATTTCCCAAAAATTCACTAATATGCATATTAACTATCAAAGAGCGACGTTATCACACATATAATCCTCCGTAATTTGCAAATATGAGGTCGTAATTGCCATAAATTTTCTAATAATCGAGAAATATGCGTTTGAAACTTTCAAAAATTTTCACAAAAATCCGTTAATAATACGACTTAAGAGAAAAAGATCTAGATTATTAGCGAGTGAATTCTTCGTAGAATAAAAATAAGATTGTGGTGTTTATAAATTTTCAAATAATCAAGAAATTTACCTTCAAAATTTCCAATAATTTCCCCAAAAATATATTAATATGTGTTTTCACAACTGAACAGCTACATAATTGGACACGGAATTTCTCCGTAGATTCCCTGTATGAGTTCGGTGTTTGCCCAAGGTTTCAAATAATGGAGATTTTTGTCTGAAACTTTCAAAATTGTTTCCAAAAATTCCTTAATATGCGTATTAAGAAGTAAAAAATCTACGTCATCAGACAGAAAATTCTCCGCGGATTACGTATATGAAGTCGTGATCATAAGTTTTCAAAAAATCGAAAATTTTCTATTCGAAATTTTCAAAAAATTTCCCAAAAACTCACTAATATGCATATTAACTACCAAAGAACGACCTTATCACATAGATAATTCTCCGTAATTTGAAAATATGAGGTCGTAATTGCCATAAATTTTCAAATAATCGAGAAATATGCGTTTGAAACTTTCAAAAATTTTCACAAAAATTCGTTAACAATACGACTTAAGAGGAAAAGATCTAGATTATTAGAGAGTGAATTCTTCGTAGAATAAAAATAAGATTGTGGTGTTTATAAATTTTCAAATAATCAAGAAATTTACCTTCAAAATTTCCAATAATTTCCCCAAAAATTTATTTAATATGTGTCTTAACAACCAAACACCTATGTAATCGGACACAGAATTCTCCGTAGATTCTCTATATGAGTTCGGTGTTTCTACAAGGTTTCAAATAATAGAGATTTTTGTTTGAAAGTTTCAAAATTGTTTCCAAAAAATCGTTAATATGCACATTAACAAGTAAAAATCTACGTCATCGGACAGAAAATTTTCCGTAGATTACGAATATGAAGTCGTAGTGGTCATAAGTTTCCAAAAAATCGAAAACTTTCTATTCGAAATTTTCAAAAAATGTCTCAATAATTCATTAATATAATATTAATCATTAAAGACTGACCTTATCACCTGAATAAATCTTCGTAGTTTACAAATATGAGATCGTTGTTGTTATAAATTTTCAAATAATTGAGAAATATGCGTTTCAAACTTTCAAAAATTTTCTCAAAAATCCGTTAATAATACGACTTAACAGGAAAAGATCTAGATTATGAGAGAGTGAATTCTTCGTAGATTAAAAATATGACATCGTGGTGTTAATACATTTTTAAATAGTCCAGAAATTTACCTTCGAAATTTTCAAAAAATATTCCAAAAATTCACTAATATGCATATTAACTACGAAAGAACGACGTTATCACACAGGTAATTCTCCGTAGTTTACAAATATAAGATCGTCATTACCATAAATTTTCAAATAATCAAGAATTATGCTTTTGGAACTTTCAAAAATTTTCTCAAAAATCTGTTAATAATGCGTCTTAACAGGCAAACACCTATATTATCGAAGAATCCAAGAGTGAATTCTTCCTAAAATACAAATATGAGATCGAGGTGTTCAAAAATTTTCAAATATTCGAGAAATTTACTTCCGAAATTCCCAAAAAATTTCCCAAAATTTATTAAAATGTGCCTTAGTAACTAAACAGCTGCGTAGTTGGAGTGGGAATTCTCCGTAGCTTTCAAATATGAGGTCGTTGTTGTCATAAATTTTCAAATAATCGAGAAAATTGTGTTCAAAATTTTCAAAAATTTTCCCAAAAATCCATCAATATGCTTCTTAATCATTAGATAACTACATAATCGGACAAATAATTCTTTGCAGATTTCGAATATGAGGTCGTCGTTATCATGAGTTTTCAAATAATGGAAAAATTTGATTTTGAAACTTTCCAAAATTTTCCAAAAATCACTTAATATGCGCTTTAATCACTAAACAAATACGTAATCGGACAGAGAATTCTCCGTAAATTTCAAATATGAGGTTATCGTTATCACGCGTTTTCAGAGAATGGAGAAATCTGAATTTGAAGTTTTCAAAAATTTTCCAAAAAATCACTTAATATAGCTTTAATCACTAAACAGCTACGTAATCGGACAGAGAATTCTCCGTAAATTTCGAATATGAAGTCATTGTCAAAAGTTTTCAAATAATAGAGAAATTTTTGTTTGAAATTTTCAAAAATATTTCCAAAAATTCGTTAATTCGCACATTAACAAGCAAAAATCTGCGTCATTAGGCAGATTATTCCTGGATGATTACGAATACGACGTCGTAGTTTTCATAAATTTTCAAATAATCGAGAAAATTGAGTTCGAAATTTTCTAAAATTTTCCCAGAATCCATTAATATGCATCTTAATTATTAGATAGCTACGTAGTCGGACATAGAATTCTCCGTAGATTTTAAATATGAGATCGTCGTTGTCATGAGTTTTCAAATAATGGACAAATTTGAATCTGAAATTTTAAGAAATTTTCTCAAAAATCACTTAATATGGTTTTAATCACTAAACAGCTACGTAATCGGACAGAGAATTTTCCGTAAATTTCGAATACGAAGTTATTGTCATAAGTTTTCAAATAATAGAGAAATTTTTGTTTGAAATTTTCAAAAATATTTCCAAAAATTCGTTAATTCGCATATTAACAAGCAAAAATCTACGTCATTAGGCAGATTATTCTTAGGTGATTACGAATACGAGGTCGTTGTTTTCATAAATTTTCGAATAATCGAGAAATTTGCGTTCGAAATTTTCAAAAATTTGCCCAAAAATCCATTAACATGTTTGAATTTTGAGCTAATATGTAACGTAGACAACCAATAATTCAGGTCGAATGCACAGTTTTTCCAAAGCTAACTTAATGTAAGATATTTCGTATAAATTGTGCCATGTGTTGGTAATCCGGCGAATTCTACTAACAGGAATTCACGAGTCCCGTGGCCCGAAACACCGTTTAAATTCCCCCTGACGCCGGTCCTGCCCCAGAGACAATTTTATCACCCCATAATCCGCCCACGAGCGCTCGTTTTTATTCGCAATCGATTCGCGCTCCCAAATGGCAGCCCGAACTCTTCCAATTAAAAATAAACAGAGCAATTTCGCCGATTTTGTGTGAATGGAGATTCATTAGGGGGAGAATGCCGGTCTAAGAGGTTTAGCTTTAAAACGGCGAGTGGAAAGAAATCCCCGCAAGAATATTGCCCGCAGTCGACGAAATCCTGTAATTTTCTCGCTTTTATATTTGGCAGGCGAAGCGGAGGGAGTCGAGAGGGTTGTAATATTGCAAATTTTGTGTGGGGTGTATTCAGGGGCGCATGAAAAGAGAAAAGTCAACAAAAAAGTATCCGTGGGAGTCGGGACTGGCGGAGCGTGAAAATGTCGTCGTTCTGGTTTGAGGGAGATATTGGGCGTATTTGGTAAATGGGAAACGAGGCAAATGGGGGAATTAAATTTTGTGGGAGACGGGAAGGTGAAGTTGGGTGAGGTGGCGCCATCTGGTGGAGAGGTACTGGTTCGACCGCAGAGTTCTGTGTCTTCTGGATTCTTCTGGATTCTTAATTTATGGGGGCTGACCGTGGCCAGCCGGCACTTAGGCCTCGCCTTTGGGCCCATTGTACCTTCCCCAAGTCCATATCAGGGTGTTTTCCCGCTCCTCTACTCGTCAAGCCACCCAACTGCTTGAATGTACTTGAGTAATGCAGAGGGTGGAAACTCCCTGATATTTGCCATACTAGGCCAGATGTCCCCTAGTATGGATTCCCTGTAGGAGGCTAGGGCTGGACACTCACGAAGAATGTGCTCAGCTGTTTCCTCTTCTTCATTGCATCCACGACAGATTGGGTCTGTTACCACCCCTATCGTATATAGATGTTTGTTAAACTGGTAATGTCCCGTAAGGAATCCTACCAGTTTACGCAGTTTGTCCCTTGAAAGTGAGAGATAAAATTTCGTCAACTTACGGTCTGGTGTCGCCATACAAGCTCTACTATGCCGACAGCTGCTCAACTTCACCCATATCTGCTCATGGCGTCTCTGGGTATATTGCTTTACGAGTTCGTTCGAGAGGGCGACCGAAGGCGTGATTGCCGGTTCGGGTCCCCAGAAGGGCATGCGCGCGGCTCGCTTCGCCATCTCATCTGCCCTCTCGTTTCCTTCGTTGCCACTGTGTCCTTTGATCCAACAAAGTTCCACACTATTCCTCTGCGTTACATACTTTAGCGTTTGTCTGCACTCCCAAACCAGCCCGGATCGAACCATACAGCTGTCCAGGGCTAGTAGTGCAGACTTGCTGTCAGTAAGTATGCGTATTGATTTGTTGCCGATTTCACGTTCAGCAATGATTCTAGCTCCCAGCATTATTCCCATCAGTTCTGTTTGTAAGACAGACGTGTGGGTGCCGAGAGGTACACTAATTTGTGCGTTCAGTTGTTCGGAGTAGATGCCGGCTCCTGAACCACTATCTGTTTTGGCACCATCGACATAGATATCTATGTCGGCTCGTCCTTCTGAATTATCATTCATTGATATTCTATATGTCTTCTCATATATTAATTTTGTGCCCATTCGGTCACAGCCCATCCTTAACAAGGGTATTCTGTTGAACGCCTCCGTTAAGATCCGAGTGTGCTTCGTTGTGCGGCCTTGTTTGTTCCATACTCCCAGAGAGTGAAGTCTTAGAGACGTCGTCATTGCCGCTTCCTCTATGTAAAGGTTAAGAGGTGCTAAGCAAAGAAGAGTCTCCAGAGCCGCTGTGGGAGTGGTCCTCATTGCTCCTGTAACACTGAGACACGCCATTCTCTGAACGTGTTCAAGTTGCAGGGCTGTTGTTTTTTGTCTGGCTCTGGGCCACCAAACTAAAGCTCCATAGCACAGCATCGGTCTGACTATTGCCGTGTAGATCCAGAGGGCGATCTTGGGATTTAAACCCCACGACCTTCCCACCACCCTACGACATTGCCAAAGAGCCGAGCGTGCCTTTTCTACTTTATCATCTACATGCTTCTTCCAATTCAGTCGCCAGTCCAATACAACTCCCAGGTATTTGACTTCGTCCGAAAGTTGAAGCGTTGTGTTAAATATTTTTGGCATCTGTAGTGTGCCAATTTTCCTTTTCCTGTTATTATTAATTAAATTTTGTGGGAGACGGGAAGGTGAAGTTGGGTGAGGTGGCGCCATCTGGTGGAGAGGTACTGGTTCGACCGCAGAGTTCTGTGTCTTAACTTTTATTTGTTGTTTAGAACAGTAATAAGTGATATAAATGCGACAAGTAGGTATTAAAAATAATATTTCTGTTATATCACGATCGTAATGAGAGTGAAAATGTTTTGAAAACAGGAAATTGTTTGTGGTTTAATCTGGCTTCAATAGATGGCGCTTCATATGATAAAGGGGCTATAAATGATCACCAATGTCAGTGTGACAATTTTATTGTAACTTCTGTTTAGACAAGGCGGCGAAAGTCGACGCCCACTTTGGTAACACAATAATTTATAACTACTCTTTTGTTCTACAAACAAGAACAATTGTTGAAACTGATTGCTTGCTACTACAGTGTCGACGTTTTTATACTTTCTATTTTACTCAACTATTTTCTGAAACATACGTATTTTAGGAGATGTTCGAATGTGCAATGACCCAAGTATGCGTTGTTTGACATTTGAGGTGTGTGACGTTTGTCGTGATCACTGCAAATTCCGCGTTACTTAGTGGTTCGAAATAATTATAACATAAATCATTAATTTTTTTGAGACACCAGGCGAGCAATTCTAAAAATAAATCCATGTTTCCGATGAAGATTTATTTGATGATTTTTGAGATGACGTCATCAGTTGTTGAGAGGGGACGAATTAATTAATTTTAATTAACGTTTTCTGGTGACTCGGTTGTAGTGTTTTACCAAATTTTCGATACAATAATTATTTAAGTATTCTATTTTTCCAGAGTCGCCAAAATGAAGTATGGTAAATTTTGGGTGATGTGTTTTAAAAATTAGACTTTGGACCCAAATATTTCGAATGATAGACGCATCATTCCTGAGCAAAACACAATTTTTTACAGAATTTTTGGCCACCCAATTTTTCCGAAATTGCGCTAAATAGTCCTTAACAAAAATTTACGGAATTTTCGATAATCGTCTAATTTCTTGTTCTGGGACCATAAGGATGCCATGTTTTTTGAATTTAGCTTGTCGAAGTGTATCCTCCAGATTTTTTGTGGATTTTTAGGTAACTTTTTCAAAAGCTCATTTTTTCAATACACTCCCCTAAGAAATTTTCGCTCTTTTTTGACTACATTCGAAAATTATCTAAGACAATTTTTTTGTAGATTCCAAACTCCGGAAGTTATTTTCGGCTTCATTTCTTAAAAAATTCTTACCATTTTTTCAGAATCGTGAAAATAAAATGTACAAAATTTTTAGATATTTTCAAATTTGACTTTGAACCCAAATATTTCCAAAACCAGTAGCCGCATTGACTTTGGATTGTTTTCTCTAATAGAGGTACCATTTCTTCGCGAACACAATTTTTTTCATGATTTTTGGCCATCCAGTTTTTTCGAAATTGTGCCAAATAGGTCCTTATTAATAAAAATCTACGATGACTTCGGAATTTTCGATAATCGTCTATAATCTTGTTCTGGGACCATAAAGATGCCATGTTTTTTGAATTTAGCTTGTCGAATGTATCCTCCAGATTTTTTGTGGATTTTTAGGCAACTTTTTCAAAAGCTCACTTTTTCAATACACTCTCCTATAAAATTTTCGATCTTTTTTGACCACCTTCGAAAATTACCTAAGACAATTTTTTTGTAGATTCCAAACTCCAGAAGTTATCTTCGGCTTCATTTCTTAACAAATTCTTACCATTTTTTCAGAATCGCCAAAATGAAATGTATAAAATTTTTAGATATTTTCAAATTTGATTTTGAACCCAAATATTTCCAAAACCAGTAGGCGTATTGACTTTGGATTGTTTTCTATAATAGAGGTACTATTTCTTGGCAAACACAGTTTTTTTCGTGATTTTTGGCCATCCAGTTTTTTCGAAATTGTGCCAAATACGTCCTTAATAAAAATCTACGATGACTTCGTAATTTTAGATATTCATCTATAATCTTGCTCTGGGACCAT